GGCAGCTGCCTCACCTGTCAGGTGAGGGGGCTGCACTTTTTCGGTTCCTTTCAAATCTGACAAAGCAGCCAGGACAGGCATTTTCAAGAAACCCTAGGAGAAGGGAGAAAATTTGTTCTCGTTTTCTTCCTTTGATCGTCTAAGTAACCGCAATTGAGTGTTTGTTTTGTTAAAGAAAGGTTTGGGGCTGTCACCACATTCTGCTTTCTCTAGGTAGCAAGAGACAGATGCTAGGCTTTGTGCCTGTCTGGTCTGTTTCCCAGAAAAGGGCAGCAGGGCCAGCTGGGTTGATACTGGGCTGGCATGTTAGCAGCACATTCTTTTCACATTGACTTTCCCATGCAGGATGTGCAGCCCAGGTGGGGTGAGCTCAAAACTAAAAGAAGGGCAGGGCCGATGAGGAGGCAAATGCAGGCAGAGTGGCCATACAGAAATGAGCTCACAGGATCTGGTATTTGATAGGAACAAAAAATAGAATGGACTCTCCTAATTTCTTTAAACTAGTCCTTCAGCAGGAGTAATGTCTCAGCACCTCTCCCCATCTCTCCAAATGCCAGATGCCTGGGCACAGGCTGGAACCCGGGTGAGGCAGGTGGGACACCTGAGAGTGAGGTCTCCTTGAAGTTGACCCCCCCTGGCCACCTTAATCACCTCCCCCAAGCCCCACCATACTGAGCCACTGATGTTAACATCATCTTTCATTTTGGTCTTAACTTGAAAAGTAGATTGAGAAGCTGCAAACCCAACTGAAGTTTGCAGCCATGTGAACAGGTCTTCTTTGTTAGCAGCCCACAGCCAAGGACGAAATTAACAAGGAGGAATTCACATTTGGCAAGAAGCAAAATATGAAAGCTCAATTGCAGGTTTCCTAATGGACAAGGTTATTTTCCTCAACAGAGAGAGGGCCTTAAGTTGCCAGAGGAACTGTCTGCAGGGTCCTGAAGCATGTAAGATCGGAGCCCTCTGACAGCATTATCCTAGCCTGCTGATCGGGAGCAGGATGTGAAATTCTCTGCTGGTGGTTTTGGCTTCAGTCCATCAAAGCCACATGCCAAGTACTGAAAGAGGGATCCGGCCTGCGTGTTGCTGATTGGGCCCTATCTTTTGGAGAGACCCCTCTCTGCTCATTCTAAACAGCCAGGACTCTAATCTTCCTGTCCCCACAGCAGGGGCCTGCCTTGGCTCCTTCAGGTCACTGGAGGCATCCGTTTGCCCCCTCACCCTACTGCCTCCGGAATGCTGTGCTGCAGGGCCGGTCTCTCAGCTTCCACCTTTAGGCCTCTCACACCTTCCTGCTGTAAGGATCATGCTGAAATGAGTGCATGTGTTACAAGAGTAGAAAAGACACATCTGGGCTGAAACCAGGACAACCAAATATGAACAAAATTAAAAGCTCAAAGGGATGACTAGCTAACCTAGAAATTACTTGTTCTACCCTTCGTATTTCTCCCTGAGACCCAAGATTGAGAAGAAGGGCTCGAGCCTGATAAAATACTTGGCTTTTATCCCCCTGCCTTCCACGAATGTTCAAAGGAAACCCCTGAGACTCTTGCATGCCGAGTTCTCTGCTGGAATTCTCTCAAGCGCTGCAGCCACGGCTGTGGAAACGGAGAGGATGCTGCAGGCTATTGACACAAGGGAAGCACGGTATTTGCATGTCATTTCCCTATGCACACTGTGCAACCCATCCCTAGACCGTTTTTCAAAGTAAAAAGCATTTTTATGGGTCTCTTGACAGCAGTCACTTCTGGATTTTTCCTCTTCTCTGTGCTGTCTCCTCCCTCAGGCACTGTCCCTGGCCCAGATCTCTGGCAAGTGAACCAAGTGGAGTTAAGGAAGAACCAGAGAGGAATGCAGGACTCGCCCCTGCAGAGATGGCTGCTCCAAGGGCTGAGCTTCTTATCTTGCCTTTGCCCTGGGTGCTGGCTCAGGTTCTTTTTCCAAAACTGTAACATTAGGTGATAACATTGTAGACTATGAGACTCTAACTCAATTATTTCACAGAAAGTCTCTCTTTCTTTTATTTTTTTTAATTTTTATTATTTTGTCTTATTTTATTTTGAGAAAGAGTCTTGCTCTGTTGCCTGGGCTAGATAGTGCCATGGCATCAGCCTAGCTCACAGCAACCTCCAACTCCTGGGCTCAAGTGATCCTTCTGCCTCAGCTTCCCCAGTAGGTGGGACTACAGGTGCACACCACCAGCCCAGCTAATATTTTCTATTTTTTGTAGAGACTGGGTCTCACTCTTGCTCAAGCTGGTCTCAAAATTCTGAGCTCAAACAATCCTCCCGCCTTGGCGTCCCAGAGTGTTAGGATTATAGGCGTGAGCCACCGAGCCCGGCCATCACTTCTTTTTAAAAAAAGTCTGGACTAGGCATGGTGGCTCACGCCTGTAAATCCTAGCACTCTGGGAAGCCGAGGAGGGAGTATTGCTTGAACTCAGGAGTTTGAGACCAGCCTGAGCAAGAGTGAACCCCTATCTCTACTAAAAAACAGAAAGAAATTTGGCCAGGAAGCTAAAAATATAAAAAATTAGCCAGGAGTAATGGCATATGCTTGTAATCCCAGCTACCTGGGAGGCTGAGACAGGAGGATCATCACTCAAGCCAAGAGTTGGAGGTTGCTGTGAGCTAAGTTGACGCCACAGCACTCTAGCCCGGCAACAGAGCAAGACTCTGTCTCAAAAATAAAATAAAATAAAACGAGTCTGGATTCACTTACTGCATCTTTGCACTAGCCAGTGGGAGCTGGGCTATTTTCAGAGGAGAAAACTGAGACACAGATTCTAAAGGTTTAGTCCAAAGTTACACAACTATTTAGGGTCTTGATTTGTCCAATTCAAAGTCTAGTGCTCTTTTCTGCCTCAGTTTCTTCAACTGTAAGATGGGGGGGAGGGAGTTAACAGTATGTACCTGGCTGGGTTGCTGATACGGTTAAATGCTTTAATATGTGTTAAGTGTTTAAAGCAGGGCTTGGCACATAGTGTTCAATAAATGTCCACTAATATTATTGTGCTATGCCTTATTTTTCTTTACTATTCCAAGCATTGGACTCATGACTCCTATGTGGAAGGAGGAATCAACTTCTAGGCTTAAGGAGTGTTATTCAAGTTAGGGAATGAATCCATTTCCCAGGGTCAGAGCAGGCTGAGGTGGGACCAGAACAGAGTCCTCGTAAGCAACAGGACTGAGCTGCCTGCCTGAGCCACATCCCTGCCTGGCACTGGCTAAGAAGAGGAAACTCTCAGACACAGATAATTGTATAAAGGGAGGGATGACATCTTTACAAAATGCTGAGGGCAGGAAGAACAAAGGCTTCTGAACAGCACCCAAGATTATAAGGCAACACTTTATTCTGTGACATGCTGAAGGCATTCTTCTATTTTGAGGCAGTTCTAGATTCTTCATGACTTGTATCTTACCTTTACCCACCAATTACAAGGTAGGACATGTGTGTGGTGACAGGAGTATGGAGGAGGACACCATTTCCTTCTCAAAGGTACATCTGAAAGTCTTCTAGTGGCTAGGACTAGGGGCTGGAGAGAAAGAGATGAACTCTGTCAGGAGCCCTGGTGCTTGGGAGAGGCTGCCTGGGGCAGGGACTTGCCCTGTAGCTCAAGCCCTCCTCGGCATCAGCCAATATATACAACAGGGCTGGGTTCCTACCATCCTGGGACACTGGAGAAACCAAGCCAAGTGTGCACAGGTACCTTTAGCACCAGGTCTTCTGGCTGCTGCTGAAAAGAGGGTGATGAACAATGCAAAATATAATCAGGAAAGAGCTAGCCTCTATAAAACAGCTTTACAAACCCAATCCAGGGAACTGGAATGCAGGGAACACCCCAAACTGTACTTTGAATGTCGTTGCAAAGTTGTGCAAGTCATGTTCCAGCACTTGAAATTGTTGCTGATCTGTCTAGTGTCTCAGAAATAAACACCAGACTCATAAAGAAAATAAAAGGTTTAAAACACAAATGTCTGTAATTAAGCTTTGGAGTGACGTCTTCTGCCTGCCCAAGTATCCCACTGTTGTGTGTTTTTATCTAGAGGAGCCCCGTTCTGCCCGCCCGATTTCCTTTCCCCTGCGTTGACTCTCGTGGCAGGCAGGCCGCACCCTGGCCCTTCCCAGAGTTTCCAGGGCGCCGTTTCCAAGGTACCGGTGAAGGATGAATGTCTTGGTCTAATGCTGACCTGATGCTCTCCTAACTTCAGGGCCACACGAGCTGTCCAAGGGAGCCATAAACAGCACGCACAGGGTTCGGAGCGCGTTGCGATGACCTGTGCGACAGGGACGGCGACTCTTCCCAAGCGGTCACCAGCATTAATTATTTAGTCGTACTGACTCCTGGGACAGCACTTGGGACTCAGAGGCTGGGGGCTGGAGAGATGCGAACGCCCCCGGAACCGCTCAGCCTCGAGGGGCCGTGGGGCGCCCCCTCCTCGCCGCGCTGTGCGGGGTTTCCGACGGTGGACGGCTACAGACGCTGAGCGTGTGGGGCCCGGGCCGGCGTCCTCCAGGCCGGGAAGCTGCGAGGGCGCGGACGGCACGAGCCCGGGGTCTGGGACAATGGCGAGCGAGCTCCGGGCCGCGGGACGGGGCGGCTTCCTGCGCCGGGAGGGGTAGCCAGGGCAGGGAGAACCGGGCGCGGGGGCGACGCTTCCTCGGCCGGGCGATATCCGCCTGGCGGTCCGCACAGCCAGGCCCCCGGCCCGTCGCGAACCCCCGGCCGTCCCCGCGCCCGCCACGACCGCCGCTCCCAGCGCGAGGCTCGCGCGCCGGCCCCTGAGGCAGCCCGCCGCCCATTGGCTGGCCCCGCGCGGGCGCTCCCGCCCCGCCTCGCCATTGGCCGGGGCCGCCGCGGTCCCCCGCGGCGAGCCACCGCTGACATCACGCGGCCTGAGGCGGCGCGGCGCCCGGCCCAGCCCCGCAGCCCCTCGGCAGAGGCGCCGCCGCGGTCCCGGCGGAGGATGGTGCGCGGCGCGCCGGGCCCCGCCGCCAGAGCCGCAGCGCCGCAGCGGAGCCGGCGCGGCGGGCAGCCGACCCCCGCAGGCGCGGGGCGGGCGGCGGGTGAGGCGCGGAGGGCGGCGCGGGCGCCACAGCCGGGCCGGGCGCTGCAGCCGCAGCGGCCATGGGGGCCCTGACGAGCCGGCAGCACGCGGGCGTGGAGGAGGTGGACATCCCGTCCAATTCCGTGTACCGCTACCCGCCCAAGTCCGGTGAGGGCCGGCGGGCGTCGCGGCTGGGAGCAGGGGGGAGAGACGTGGGGGCTCCGGGGCGGGATGCTCCCGAGCGGGGGCTCGCGGGCCCTCAGGGACTCGAGGGTCGCGGCCGCTCCAAAACGACCTTCGAGCGAGGAAGGTCTTCGGGAGGCCGAGGTCCACCCCACCCCCGCCCCAGGAGACTTAGCGCAGGGGGCTGCCTTAGGAGCCTGGCGGGTCCCCAGGTCACACAGCCCCTCCACTTGAGGACGGGAGCAGCCTCCGTTGTAATCTGCGCTGTGACAGGGACGTGTGCCCGGCGAGGACTGCGGGCTCCTGAGGAGCGGGGCTGCAGCGTCGCAGGGGGGTCGGCGACCGGCCCGGACCAGGCTGGCCTGACCGCAGAGCCCGCCGGCCTCGCAGGGGCTGGGAGCTTAGGGGACGCGGTCTTGGCCTCTGTGACAGGCACCTGGCACAGGTATTGCCCTGGGCTGCCGCATCCAGGCCTCTGGAAAGGTTAGAATTAGGTTTCTCCTGGAAAAACTCCCATCGCCTGCTGGGGGATGGAGGCCGAACACGCGTTTGCAATGCGGGTGCATTTCCAGAGGCTATTAGAGGGGAAAAAAAGTGTTTTTATTAGAAATGTTTGTGAATCTGAGTATCAGAGTCACTGGATGTCCCTTTGCCTGAGTACCCAGGAAGCCTGGTTTTTGGAATTGGGATAGCTCTGGGACAGGGCAGAGGAATTTAATATGTACAGAAGTATGTTTTAAGAAAGAATCATTGCTTTAGTTAAAAAAAAAAATAAGTGTCTCCATCCTCTGGGTTGTGGCATCAGTATTGGAGATACAGGAGGATTTTGACAGCAAAGGAAAGAATCACAAGAAGGGAGTTCAGTTGACTGAGCACCAGCCAATTTGAACTGCTGGTGCCTTACCTAGCTATCTGCTCTTTATTTTTAATTGCTATTCGCAAGACTTCTGGGGCTGATGGCTACAACCTTCTCTTTGGCTTGGGACCTGATGGTGATTTTGGTGATCTTGGAGTGAGGTGTCAGAATTGGAGCAGAGCCATTCTCATTTTGGTAGAATAAAGACATGCTAATGAGATGAGCTGTTTCTCAGCAGTGTGTCCAGTTTCTGCCAGGTGAAAGCAGGGGCCAGACAATGAACCTGCATCCCTGCAGAGCGTCTGCCAGAGTGTGTTTCTCACTGCTTTTGTGCCAAAGAATGAATCTTTGCAGAGATGACTATGATTAAGAGCTGTTTTAGAAAGGTCTAAGGTAAAGCTGTGGATCATTAGTATTTTAGTAAAGTGCTTGATAATTATAACTACGTGAAGCCAGTGCTAAAGAAAGCATGTATTTTGTTTTTTAATACACAAAAATATACAGCAGTATTTGTGTAATTTTTTTACTCAGCTTTTATTGATCAGAATGTGGAGCATGTTTTGCTGAGCTTGGATTTTCAGTAGTGTTTAGTGTCTCAGGAGACTATTCACCCTTCCTTCACATATGGGAATTAACATAGGTAAATCTCTGGGAGGCTGCACCCCGAAGGTTGTAAGTACAAGTATGAATCATGAATGATGATGATAAAAGGATAATGGGCCAAACTAAAACTTACCTTAACTAACATATTCAATACTTGTAGTTTTAAATAATCCTCCCTACTGGTTTTTTAAAAGTTTTACCTAATTGTAATTCACTTTTTTTTTTTTTTTGAGACTCACTTTGTTGCCCAGGCTAGAGTGAGTGCCATGGCGTCAGCCCAGCTCACAGCAACCTCAATCCCCAGGGCTCAAGCAATCCTACTGCCTCAGCCTCCCGAGTAGCTGGGACTACAGGCATGCGCCACCATGCCCGGCTCATTTTTTCTCTACATATTAGTTGGCCAATTAATTTCTTTCTATTTATAGTAGAGATGGGGTCTCGCTCTTGCTCAGGCTGGTTTTGAACTCCTGACCTTGAGCAATCCGCCCGCCTCGGCCTCCCAGAGAGCTAGGATTACAGGCGTGAGCCACAGCGCCCGGCCTGTAATTCACTTTTAATCAGGAGTTGTATATGAGAGAAATCTTTACAGCAAGTGGACCAAATTAGTTATGTTGAAGGTAAAACACAGAAAATAGGAACCAGAACATCCATGTCTCGTCAGCATACCCTTGTGTATTTGAAAACTTGTGTGAGCTTGCATATATGCTCTAGACTGGAGGCATCTCCCACTGTTCATCTGATCTTTAAATTGACCTGGCTCTTTACAGAATTATGGTATTTTAGTCCTGAAAGGAACCTTCAAGAGAATTTGGCCCAGACCCATTCATTTCACCAGTAAGAAAATAGAAACCCAGAGAAATGAATTGGTATGGCCAAGGTCACCCAGCAAATTAGTGCTCTTCTTACTATACCATCTGCCTGTGTCTTTCACAAGGAATTGGGTTTTGAGCCTGTGTTGGATAATTTGTGGAATGGAGGCCATCCTGTGTCAGAACTGAAAGAAAACTCAAGAGGCCTATCCCTGTTGAGGAATCAGCCTGGGTTAATTTTGAGAAGTCTTCTTCCCTGGGTACCCATAGTGGAACAAAGCAAATAGCAAAGTCAGCTTTCTCCAGGTGATTGGCAGAACATACCTTGTAGTCTGGATGCTGAGCTGAGATCACCCTCTGGCTCACTGGAAAGTCACTAAAACTACTGCCTGTGGAACAGTTGTTTCAGGAAGAAATACTATCACCTGTCCTTATAATGATGGGCATAACACCCAGCAGAAATTGCTTTTCTTTTTTTGGTATTTTTAATGGAACTTCTTAGTTTTGTATGTACATTGAAATTGAACCATTTAAAAACTATCAGTGATTGGTTTCATATTGGGACTTGGGTTTATAGCTTTATTCTTTTCCTTTTTTCTTTTTTTAGAGACAGGGTCATTCACTGTTGCCCAGACTGGAGTGCAGTGGCTCTGGTAGAACTCACTGCAGCCTCGAACTCCTGGGCTCAAGTGATCCTAGCAGCTGGGACTACAGGTGCTCACCACCATGTCCAGCTAATTTTTTTTATTTTTTTGTAAAGACGGGTGTCTCGCTATGTTGCCCAGGCTGGCCTCAAACTCCTGGCTTCAAGTAATCCTCAAGTGATCCTCCCACCTTGGCCTCCTAAAGTGCTAGGATTATAAGTGTTAGCAACTGCGCCTGGCCCTTTTTCCTTTTTTTTTTTTTTTTTTAAATAGAGGTAGGTAGAAATAAGATAGCCTAAATTATTTGGAATTATTTATTTTCTGCATAACTAATATAGTAATATGGGCCAACGTTTAAAAGAAAAAAAGGCATACAATGAAAGTCTTGTTCTCGCTGCTGTCATCCAGCCACCCAGTTCCCCTTCCTCCTCCCATCCCTGTGTCACCACTTTTGGTTTCTTTGGAATTCTTCCAGAGTTTCTCATGTAAATACAAGCATAGCATGGTATTTAGACTGTTCTACACCTTGTTCTTTTCACTTTCAGAGATACTGGAGATCATTTTATGTTGTGTCATATTTGAGAGTTTCTTTGTTCTTTTCAAACAACTGTATTATACTCCTTTGTGCACATCCCATCATGTTTTTATGTAGTCTCCTATTGATAAATATTTGCAGGTTGTTTTTTTCAGTATTTTACTATTGCAAACAATGTAGCAATGAATAATGTTATGCATATGTTCTTAGGTGATTTTTAGCTTTGTTAATAAATGCACAAATATTAATCATTTAGGTAACAAAGTTCGGTGGGAGTTAGTTTTTGTATAGCATTTCTGCATTAGCAGAGAAAGCAATTTAGTTGTGCCTTTGTAATGTTTGAATTAGGGGCTGTAGAAGCTTTTAATCCTTCTTGAAGATCATTACTTTTTTAAAAGTCTATGGTCATTGTTTAGCAAAGGTATGACTTTGCTGACTCATTTGTTTTTAATGCATAAAAGCCCATCTTTTCACAGATGTATCCACATTGATAAAAGCCTGTTTTCTCTATCCAGGAAGAAATAGGTATCACACAAAGACAATTTAATTCATATAAATCAGTAACTCCTAAATCTAGTTCAAGGATAATCACTCCATGGTTCTCTGTGTGTACAAAATAAATTTGTATGCCTTCTCTCCAATTAACCTGCCTTTTCATAAAAAAAAAATGTAGTTCATTTCCCTCTATGTATTCGAGTAAATTGGAAAATAAGAAGAATTCATTTTGCTGAAGTCTTAAGAGGTAAACCTATTATAAAAATTCAGAACGATAATTAGAGTCCTGACTACCTAACTTGGTTAAACCTGGGTTTTTGCTGTTATGGCCTTGAACTGATTGGCGAGGCCCACCCACATTATCAAGGATAATCTTCTTAACTTCAAATGATTGTAGATGTTAATCACATCTACATCCTTCTCCAAATTTGTGTTACCTTGGAGTACACATATGCTTCTCAAATGGGTCTATCCCATTTGTGGCAAGAGCAGTTTTTAAAAGGATGAGTAATCTGCCTGTCAAATAATTATAAAAGTTTCCTGTAGCTTTAGGAGCACCAATTTAATATTAGTTTTGAAACCATGGACTTAAAAATATGGAATTTATTACAGAATAAAGAATTATTTGGTTGGCATACTTGACACTTTATTTTTATTTATTTATTTATTTTTTCTTTTTTTTTAAAGACTAGTCAAGTGCAGTAGTGAGGAGGGGGGAAAGTAGTAGAACAAGGAGTTCAATCTGTAACTGACTGTGAACAATCACGTGAGATAACTCACTACCTTCGGACCAGCCTATAGTTGACACTTTAAAATACCCAAAACAGGCCAGGCGCAGTGGCTCACGCCTGTAATCCTAGCACTCTGGGAGGCTGAGGCCGGCGGATTGCTTGAGGTCAGGAGTTTGAAACCAGCCTGAGCAAGAGTGAGACCCCGTCTCTACTATACACAGAAAGAAATTAATTGGCCAACTAATATATATATATAGAAAAAAAAAATTAGCCGGGCATGGTGGCACATGCCTATAGTCCCAGCTACTTGGG